TGGACGAGGTGCGCAAGCGCAACGCCCGGCTGACCGCGTCCCTGCGGGAGGCCGAGCGCGACCTTCCGGACCTCCGCCGGCGGCTGGACGACCACCGCCGGGCGCGCTCTCGACAGGCGGTACGCTTGGGCGGCCCGGAAAACCCCCCCCCCACCCCCACCTGCGTCTAAAGGGCCTTGTTGTGGGCGTGTCCTGTAGGCTGGCGCCGCCCGTGTCAAGCAGCTGGAGGAGGAGCTGGAGGACGTGGTCCTGGAGCGAGACCTGCTCATCGCCGCCTTTGCGCAGGTGACGTCGCTCGCCGTGGGGGTCGGTCGCGCTAGGGGGAGGGGGGTAAGAGCGGCGGCCCACTCCGGACTGTTGCGCCGGCCGCAGGTGGAGGAGGAGCGAGACGCGCTCCTCAGCGGGCAGACGGAGGTCCTGCTGGAGGTCCGGCAGAGGAGCGGCCTGAAGGAGATGCTCCTGGAGCGCAAGATGGCCTTCCTGAGTCACTCGGTGGACGGGGTCTGCGGCACGCGGCGAGTTGACGTGCACGACGGTGCGCTCGTGGCCCTCCGGGAGGGGGCCGGTCGCCGCGGTCTGGACGCGCTCGGCGTCCCGTCCTCCGTCTTCCCGCCGCCGGACGCGCAGCTCATCCTGGACCGGCACGTGCGCACGCTGTGACACCGGCCGCGCCTGCTGTTACTTGGGAAGGTGAAGGGTTTTTTTTTTTTTTTTTTTCCCAGCGACTGCCTTTTGTGTTTTATTTTATTTCCCGGAAAACAGGAAGTGGAGGCGGAAAAATCCAAAGTTGCTTGCAATTCTGTCGACTTGTTTTTCTGAGCGACAAAACATGCTAACAAGCAGCTAGCACGCACGCGCCGGCGTCGTCCTCTACGTGACTTTTTTTTTTTTTTTCCCAGCGACTGCCTTTTGTGTTTTATTTTATTTCCCGGATCAACAGGAAGTGGAGGCGGAAAAAATCCAAAGTTGCTTGCAATTCTGTCGACTTGTTTTCCTGAGCTGCAAAACATGCTAACAAGCAGCTAGCGCGCGCGCGCACCCGCGCTTTCCAGGCAACGTTAGCGGCCAACCCAAGACTTGAAGCTGAGGGCGGAGCCGCCGCCGTTCGCCCGTCAGCCGGTTCCGTGGCGGCCGCTCTCGAAGACGCCTTTCTTGAAGAAGGGCGACAACTCGCACACGGATCGCTTGGACACGGGACAGGCGAGCTCGGCGTCGTCCGACGGCGTCGACATCACCGCAAACACGCTCCGCAGGTAGCCCTGCGAACACGGACGGGCACGTCAGCGTGGGCGCCTTCGACAAAAAAGGCGTCGCGTCGGCGTGCGGGCGGGCGCGAGGCGATCCGACCTCCAGCTGATTCCTGCGTTCGGCCGCCACTCTTTCGTCTTTGTTTCCGAATATCTTCTTGGGAGGGAATTCCAGAGCGGCCAGCTGCAAAGACGCGGCGATGACATCACAAGAGAGTTTTCCGGCGATCGGCCTTTGGCGCCCGATGACCGACCTGCGGATATTTCGAGCTGAGCCTCTTGCGCAGCTCTCGGAAGCGACTGTAGCGACGGAACACCGTCCACGTCTCGTCCTCCACGCTCATCTGTCACACGCGCGCGCGCACGTTAGGCGCTTTTGACAATGCTCGGGGCGCGGCGGGGACGCGCCGACCCACCTTGACCTCGAACTCAAAGTGCTCGTCCTTGCCCTGACCTCTGAGGACGTAGCGGGGGATGTCGACGCGGATGGCGCCGCGGCGGGGGCGGCGAGGGGGCTCGGCGAGGGAGCCGCCGCGACGCTGGAACGCAAAAAGGCAAAAGTGGGCGGGGCCGGCCAAAGAAGACGGCGCTTCGGGGAGGCGGAGGGGTCGCCCTCGTCTCGGCCGGGCTCATCTCATTGGTTGGGCGGGGTCTTCCTTGTGGGCGGACACCTTCCGCTCCCGACGGGCACCCGAACACCGAAACACGCTTGCCTTTTACCTCCTCTGCTGATCTCCTCTCGCCGGGGTCATTTCCGTTGCGGTCCAGCGCCTCCCCGGCCCGCCGCCTCTCTTCGGCAGGCCCGGGGAGGAGTTTGGCGTCCGCGGCCCCGCCTCCGTCTCCGCCGACGGCCCCCGCGAGTGCCTCGCCGACGTCGGCCCCGTCGCTTTGCCGCTTGGCCTCCGTCTCCTCGATCGGACGCCTGCGCTCACACGCACCAAGAAAAAAAAAAATAAAGGCGTCGCGCCGCATCCGCGTCGGGCAAAGTGACGGCGAGCGAGCGAGGACTCACCCCAGGTCGGAGAGCGCGACGGCGGAGGAGAGGTCGTCGCGGGACTCGGGCAGGTCGCTCTGGCGGGGGCAAGCGAGAGACGGCGGCGTCGGCGCGTGGGCGGAGACGGCGGCGGGGGAGGGGGCGGGGCTGACCTTGCGTTTCTCGCGCAGCCGCGCCGCCTCTTTGGGGTGGTTGAAGCGGAACGTGTTGGTCCGGCCCAGCAGGATGACGGCGCCTGCGGCGACACTGCGCTCGAGTGCCGCGGGGAGGGGGGGGCGCCCCCGACGCCGCCCCTTACCTTGATTGAGCCGCGTGGGCGTGGCCACGTCGGTCCCGTTGACGGAGCAGAGCGCGGCGGGCAGCGGCAGCAGCGTCACCGTGCCGCCGCGGTTCTCAAACACGCAGTGCTCGCTCTCCACGCCGGCGCCGCGAACGACTGCAAAGTGACAGCGTGAGCTCTGTCGCG